GCTCGGCTCTGCCCACTGCTGAGTGTCTGCAGTGCAGGTGCGGGCTGGGCCCACGCAGCGCCTCCTGTGACTCCCCCGGGCGTGGGCTGCTGTCCATCGTCCCCTCCTCCATCCGTGTGAGCTCTTCTTGTCTCTGTCATGTCATGAGGTCCTGTCACTCAGCAAAAATCAGGATGATGATCGTTTATGAACATTTGGAAAGGCAAGTAGTGTCCCGGTGGTTCCAAGCCAACTGGAACGTGGACAGCCTGTGTGGGGGGTTCACGCCTCCTCAGACTAAAGTCACCACCGAACGAACACGCCTGCTGTAAAACACACAGCACGGCGAGACCAGGGCTCCGTTTCTTCTTGCCTGACACCACGGTCTAAAGGAGGTTTTTCTGCAACGTCGAACGAGCTGGTTAAAGGCGTGTCCAGGAATGAGGTGCTCGTTAGCTATTTGTTCCCCGAAACCGGCTGAAGCTTTTGTTCACCTGTTTCCCAGAACGTCTGTTACGTGCAGAGTCATTCGTAACTGGCTTCTTATCCCCGTCTCAAGGCTGTGACCGCGCCACGCGGGCTGCTTTCTGCTGCCGTTGGGCCTTCTCTGTTTTCTCAGAAGACCTGTGGGCCTCACTACTCCTCAACTTGCTCTTTTTGTGCCCAGTTTATAAAGATTCTGTGCTGTTTTTATGGGTGGAAACGACAAGGTTCTGAAGAGAGTCTTATTTGTCAAATCATGCCGTCGGATTCCACTTGGCGAGTCACAGTTGAGAAAAGGTCGCAGGTCGCGTGTCCGACGGAAGCATTTGTATCTAGGGTGCAGAAAGGACTCACAAGCTCAGTGGTAGGGACAGAGACTGCCCAGATGAAGGGGCAGAAGCCTCGAAGACACGTCACCAAAGAGGATCTAACCGTGGCAAGTGAGCACACGAGATGTCCCACTGCCGATGGCCGGGTTATAACTTATTTTTCGTCTAATAATCCTCGATCTAGCGTATTTCTTCAGAAAGCGTTCCTCCGATGAAAGGCGCGGGGAGCGACGTTCTCGGATGACTTGGTGCGTGGGTCACGTTAGGGCACTTGTTCTGCGAGGGGTCATTTTCCTCATTTCCTCTCCCCCGAAAGACGTTTTCCAGCCGGTG